ATTTTACAAGAGCTGAAATATCATGAAGACAATACACATTATGTACTCTAATTTGTTTTATATTCACTACCTCAATTATTTAAACATCAGAGTTGTGATCGACTAGTTTACTCACCAGGAACAAAATGCTGATTATTATTATGATGAAAAGATGAAAACTATTGATCGGGCACAATTGTTGGGAACATCTAATCAATACATGAAACAATCTTAAATGCTGAATATATATTGAGGAAATCAGTGAGCAGAAGTTTGGAAAAAGTTCAGATAGTTGAGATTTTATTAAGACATATACCTCTAGTTGTATGGCCACAAAACAATGCATGATTCACATTTAAAAACACAGTTACGGGTGAAAGCTCCTCTGATGAAGCACCGGTGCTGAGCAGAAACAGCTGGATTCAAATCATTCCGCATTTTCCTAATTATTCATGTAATTGGAAGCTAATTTGAAAATGGGTCATGTTAGCATTCAAAACCTACTCTCTCCCGATTCAAAATGAATGCGGTACACTCCCTGCGCACACTGTGTGGCGTAGAGGGAAAGTCTTGCGTGTCTTGTGTGGTTTGCAAAAAGCCTCCCATGTTTACCAGTGAGGGCAGATGTCACGGTTCGCTGTGGGGGAGCAGACGCAACCACATCTGATTGGCAATATTATTGTCCTCCTCCACAACCGCAACAAAGACTCATCCTCCCCCCCCCTCTTGTCTGGTCTTTTCTTTCTCTCTGTTTCAGGCCAGAGTGACACTGCCACCATCCACTAAACACCAGTCAGGAGCCAGAAGGTTGAGTTCGCAGCACGACTGTGTGTCCACGTGCAGATTAAAATAATGTTGCTGTATGTTCAAATACACTGTGCATCGTTTGTACTGCTATTTTTGTCCAATCATGAATTGTATCCAACTTTGAATTGAGAATAAATCATTAGCACGTCCGCAACAAGTGAACAAACACCGGAGGGGAAATTTACTTACATCTCAGGTTGAAAAAAGGCATCAGAGTATAAATCATGAGCCCAGTGGGAGCGTCTCTGCGTTCATACGTGCAGGGACAGTAAACCTGCGCTTAAGCCTGAGTTTATTTAATGTAATTTATGCGTTTGATTTGAACTCTCACAACGCTCCTCTGTACATTTTATTGTGATTTTTTAACTTATTTTTTCGCTTATCTTTCCGTCGCCAAACCGCCACAAAGGCAGTAACCCCAGACGCATCCCAGCAGCTTATTGAAGACAAACAATAAAACCAGTGGCAGATATCAATGGCAGAGATGAGAACCCGGGTGCCATATCTGCTGGGACTGCCTGGCGAACCTGCCGCTGTCTGCGCTTCATCTCCAGCAGCACCTCTCACTCTCAATTATTTGGCTGCTGTCACAACAAATCAATCAAATTACCGCTCCAGGACTGTGTGCAGCTGCTCCTATTGCACCGCTAGTTGCATTAGCTTTGAAATGTATGAGGTCTACATTTTATCACTCTTATTTATTTAATGCGGCTCTCTCCCCTGCGAGTCCTCTTACAAACACTGCAAAGTTAAATCATCAAAGCACCAAGTGGAATACACACTGCCTGAGAACACTTCAAATTAAACAGCGATAAGGGAGCGGGGATGGGTCTGACCTCTATTGTGTTAAAATAGCAGGTGTTGATGTGAGGAAATGTGGACCGCCTGCTCCGGGTCCCCCTACATGCGCTCCTCCATCGGCTGAACGAGCACACAACCAACGGCTTATTTTCTTTTCTCATCCCCCCCAAAAAAAATGATTCGACAAATTCACACAGGAGAAGAAAAAAAAAAAAAATAGCGTGCGACAAGCCACTAGTTTGGCTGTGACGAAGCCAGAAAAGGATGTTTGAAAGTGTCCCGCTCTGATAATGTAATGGGTAAAAAGGGACACGGAGGCATTCCCACGGCGGACTGGGGTTGAGTCAGCGGCCCGGCCATCTAACCTCTTAAAGGAGCATGCAGCAGTCAGCCGAGGCAGAAGAGATGCAGCCTGACATGTCTGACTAGTGTGGAAGCGTTACTCCCTTCCTCCTCGGAGCCCACCCTTTGGTGGTGTAATGAGCACAGCGATTTCCCTAATTTGTATCGCACAGACGCTCGCGAAACCTGCGAAACGACACCGCCCAACATTTTCATCAAAACGGCAGACGCGCCTTTGATTGGCACCGACACCGGGTCTCATTACTGCAGGTGAGTGGGATGTCGACCTTTATCGGGAAGCCTTAGTGCTGTTTTGTGTTTCCTGCGGACGAGTACAGAGGATCGACGCTCTCACCTCACCATTAGAACTCCGCTCTCTGACGTGACGCGCTGCCTGGCTTTCTGCTCAGAGCAAATGAGATGGGATGTGCTTATTAATATGAAAGAGCTCCGGTAAACTAGCTTCGTGCATTACCTTTGAGTGAGTCTCAGAGAGGGAGAGTAGACAGATGGGACTTTGTTCTGCTTCCCTCCCATTGGGCATTACATGTACAGTGCTTTGATACAACTAGTTCTACAAGTATGGTAATCATGTTGTGCTTGTTATAAAACCTATTAAAAATGCATCAGGAAGTGAGCATCATATCAAACAGCAACAAAAGATCTGCGTACGTAGATCTGCGTTCTGTCGTACATGCTTATGTTCAAAACTGTGAAAGTCACACGTGTTTTTCTTTTTTATATTCATATGAGCCGTCACATTTACAGACCTCTAGCATGACCCAACCTAGTTTTTGCCTCTGTGAAGTCAGCTAGAATTGTGTGCACTCTGTCACAAAAGATAACTTTCTCCCTTGTTTAGTTTCATTGGGAATTTGTTTTTACTGCATGTTTGCAGGCATAAATCATTCTGACAAATAACCAGTTACGCTGCTGCTTGTGTTTACAGAGTCTGCCACAAGATGCTGCTCAGTTTTATTCAAGCAACCGCTACAAATTTATAGCACAACCCCATTACAGTGATAGTTATTCATCCCGGTGTGAGAGAGCAGCTCGCCCAAAGCTCGCAGCAGTTCAGCCGGTCACCTCTTGTCAACACGTATGCGCACAGAGCCAGCTGTGATTAGCATGATCAAAGACGCCGCTCTTACTATTTTACCTGACGCTTACGTTACATTTTCATCATTAAAACAGAATGAGAAAATGTACAAAATGCAAGAACGCAACAAAGTTAAATCTGAATTTTAAAAAAACTAACTTAACTTGACATCTTTAAAGACTGTGACTCTGAGACTACAAGCATGAGTGCTCTCATGTACATAATTCAGCTCCTCCACCCTCAGCCGCCCTCTTCCCAAGACAAACAGCCTTATTAGTTGGTCATTAGCTGCCTCATTACATTTAAATGCAGCCATTGGCTGGGCTCCTCCCGGAGTCTCATTATCGTACCTCACAGTTGTCTCGCGTCTGATCTGATGCCAATTAGCTAACAGCGGGAGCGCTGTAAAGCACACTTGCTCCTGAGGTCCTGAGATGAGCCGACTGCTCCATGGCGACAGTGTGCCGCTGTATTGCATGTGTGATTAATCAAGGCCTGGGGACCCGGAGGGGCGGGGACGGGGAGCGAGGGGGATGCGGGGGGTTTGGGGGGGGTCCGGAGTTGCAGTTGTCTGACAGAGGTGCTGTGCCAGCAGGCCTCATTCAGCGGAGCCCTGATGAGCTCGGACAGCGGAGAGTGGAGGAGCGCCGCGTGGCCAGAGGGGCCCGGACACAGTCAAGACATTTAGCTTCACTCGTGACTTGTGTCACTTTCTCTCCACGGAGGTCCCTTCAATGCATCCCCTTTAGATAAGAGGACGTGCAGTCTGTCAGTCCACACGCGTAATAAAAGATCTGCCACACAGGCATTTCTCCAGTTTTTTGGGCGCGGGGGGGGGGTGGGATTATTTATTTGTTTGTCCATCTCTCATGGATGGGTGTTTTTTTATTTTATCAGGACATTTGATTCCAGGCTGTCTGTCGGTTTGTTTGTCAGTGGACAATAAGGATGACGGAGAGGTGTTTGTTTTGGCATTCTGACACCCTGACAATGTGTTTGTCGATCAGCTCATCAGATCCCTGAAGCCTCTGGGTGATTCCTCGTGCACCAAGAGGAAGATCTGTTGAAGTGTGAGTCAGACGGGCCTGCTGGGCCCATTATCGTCCGCCGCTGATGGATACATTGAAGGGCTCGCTGGATAGATGCGGGTTTATTAAAAGCTCTGCCCACAGCGATGGCTGCTGTTATTTATGCATGTTTGTGTCCATTAGGCTTCTACCTCCACATTTCCTCACTCGGGGCATCTGTCCATCCATTTCCCCACATGAGGGGAGCTTTCCCTGCACTTTGTGCTGCACCGGCATTATTGTAATATCCACCCTAAAAACACACTGCTTTACATGTAGCCTGGCATCTTTTTACATTAGTGCAGCGCTCTCATCCAAGATTCATGACTGATGGTCTCCCCATCCATCCCTCAATCTAATGGTATAAAAGAGACAATGTTTTAAACATTAAAATGAAAACCATTTACAACTATGATCAAAAGAGAACACTTGGGCATTAAAGTTTAAAAGGCAGGGATAAGTACAGCCATGTGGATGGACAGATGAGGTGGAAAAAAAGATAAAAAAGTGAAGTACAGTGCACTCTTATGTACAGGGAAGATGCATAAAGTGCTTTTGCGCTGCACTGCAAAACGTTGACCTGTAATTAATATGGCTGCTCCTTCGGGAAATCTGAGGATAGCAGCTTTTTGGGATACAATCCCCTGAAGGATTCTTACCTGCTCAAGAGCTTTGTAAAACATTTTTATTGAAGGAAAAACAAAAAACACGTCTATGATACACAATGGTTGTACATCAAGCAGTTGTTTGGATCCTTATTTGTTGTGTTTACCACTAATCGTATGTGTCTAATACGCCTTCACTAAGTGGCGATCGTACAGTGGATTTCTTTCCTCGACTACCTGACTTATCTTTGACCCCTGTTTTGTGCGAGTGGCGTTGCGCCGTAGTGCCCTCTTCCTTACCTTGCAGGTTCTGGAGGGGGAGCGTCATGATGCCCCCTGCGGCAGCAGCAGCCACCAGGCTCTGGATGTTGGCTGTGGGCAGGGAGAGAACGAGGCCCTGTTGGCCCCCCAGGTGTCCGCCCGCGTTGAACGGGATGAGGATGGGCTGGTTCATGCCCGGCGCCCCCCCGGACATCACGCCGCCCACTGCGTTGGCCAGCTGCTGGGCCACCAGGAGAGACTGCGGCAGACGCACACAACACACACGCGTGATATAATAATATATACTGTCTATATTGTCACCAACATGATCGTCTACAATGTTAGACAGAAAGAGTTTAATCATATAATGTCTGTTGCATAATATTGTTTTAAAGAATGTTGGGTTTCTATGTTGGATGTTGGACATTCTTTTATTCAGAATGCACAATTAATATTAGTAATGTAAAATATGGACTGTATTGTGGAACACATTAGCATGGTAACAATAAAAAAAAGAAGTAAAGTGTCCTACTGCGAGCTCCAACTTTTAAAATAAAATAAAGGCTTTCAAAGCAGGTCTTTTGTTTAAAATCCTAATGAACTATTCTCGAGAACGAACACTTGATAAATTGTAGCCGATGAAGGATAATACTAAATGATCTGCCAGCATTACCTGTGTGAGCTGCAGAATAATTGTTGTACACTAGCGAAAACACGTAGTTAAGGCATCACATTTGATTGATGGATATATATACACACACACACACCATTTTATATTCTGGGATGCATAATTGAGTCAAGCAAAGCAGAAAAGCAGATGCCACCACAGGGACTGTGTCACTAATCAATGTGTTTTGATGAATGTGGTTGTTTTGCAGATGAATTCTGTGCATTGCTGCGTCACAGCCTGACAGTCAAAACACACGGCTGTTGGTATAGAGATGAAATCCAATCTTTGTGAAAAAACGGAGAATTCTTCTTTCCCAGAGTGATTTATGTTTCCTCCCATTGAACAAATCCCTGGTACCACAGAAGTGTGCCTGAAATACACAGTGCTTTTCTAAAAAAAATAAAAAAAACACGGCAGTGCTTTACCCTTCTGATGAGGGATAACACATCACTCTCGAGTCTTCATGTATCCATTCATTCACATTAGTTCAAGTGGATTCGGTGCAGTCGTACCCATAGAGGCAAAGATATGTTATCAGAAGTATCGCTCTGAGATATTTTGCACAGTAGAAGATCTCTTCAAATGGATTTTCCGAGGAAGTCGGTTTGGAAACACACCAACCTATTTTTCATCGAGAGCTTTGAGCTAGAAGTGGTGATGTTTGTCACATGGCTGAAGCCTCCATGAATACACAGGGAATGACTTCTTCAATTGTGTTCATTCCGATGAAGCCATTTTTTTCAAACGATGTCAGCCTTTGAGCATGTCAGACTGGATTTACATTGGGAGTACGGGACAGGAGATGGCGAGGATGCAGCAAAATCCCCCCAAATGACTGTTTAAACATCGAATTGAGATGTTGGAAATGAAATAATACACTGTCAGCTTGTGTTGTGTCCACAGTGAAGCAGCCTTTAGACGTTGCTAGGTGAGCCTGGCTGCACTGCGTTGACTCCTCCACTGCGACTTAAGTTCACAAGCCTTTAACTCCAATTGTCAGCTATCTGCTTCTGTTTTGCATGGCGTGTCTGCAGCTTGCACAGGAGGCAGAGCGGGCTGACTGGTGCGAATAGACCATCGTACTCCCAAATCTGGTGCTTCTAGGAGACAGGCGTGTCACTGTGATAACCCTGCATGGTGCAGAACGCCTGCACCAACCTCGACATACATGCAATCAGGTTTTTCTGTCTTTTTTTGGAGGTACGAGGTCTTGCGGGTTTAAAGCCGTGATGCAGAGAGATCTCAGGGCGAAATGTCTGCACGGGGAGACAAATGAATACCTGTTTGTGTTTCTAAGCTGCTCAAAGAATGTCAAAAAGCATGGAGAGGTGATTGTTGGCAGCAGGAGTAATCACACACACCATATAGGATGCGTCTTTTCTCCACATTTCTTTTGATACACAACACCAGCACGTAACAGATGGCAATATCTGAAGCTTCTGAGAGCATTCAGAATGACATTTGCCATTAAATTGAAAAAAAAAAAAGAAATTAATAATAATCCGTGCAAAGAATCCTCAAAGGACAATAACAAAGGCAACCCTTTGGTTAGCTGCAAGTGACATATGTTTAATCATGCGTTTTAAGCTAAATTTAATCTTGAATCAAAGCAGCATATAATCAAAGACACTCTTTGAACATTCATCTCTGAGTCAAACAAAATGAGACTGCCAGGCTTGACAGCAAAGACAGCCTCACATACAAGAGAATAACATTAAAAGACAATTCTGCAATTATTAGATGCAGCCCTGATTTATTTATCATTACAGGCAGCTGCGGAGAAACGGGCTGCTGCAGAGAGACATCAATTGCGAGGCTAAAACAACTATCTTTAGCTTCTTTAGGTTTGTTCTGCCAGATTAAGATCTCCATCTGAGGGGAGGACGTTGTTTACGCGCTCATCAAAATCAGAGATAAGTACGCATTTAGCACGAGGATAATTAGGTTGACTCTTCAGCCGCACAACAAGCTTTCACTGCAAGAACCCACAGCACCTCTAATCTGGATTAGCAGCAGCAGTTCACCCCGATAGGCTCGCTCTTCCTCCCCACAGGTGCTTGCTGTGCAGTGCTTGGCGGGGCTGAGTGTTGAGAAGTGGTCTCCCAGGGGCCACACAGGCACACAGACTGGGTGTGTTTTGGGCAATGGATGGGGAAGCAGCCTGACTCAGGACGGGATTTGGTACCCTGTCTCTCTGCCCATCGGGGGGAGAATAGGCCCTTCCATCTGCTTGGCAGCTCTGGCACTGAGAAATTGCCCATAATCACCCAGATAGCAGACTTTTGTCATCCTAACTGCAAGTGGGATACAGAAGGAAGGTGGATTCACGTTGGGTAAACTACCATCGGATAATGGTGGTTCGAACAATATCCGGCTCCGGAGCGAGAATCTATCAAAACATATTGATCCTGGAACAAGAGAATTGGGTATGGCATGCGGAGCGCCTTTGTTTCTGAAAAGTGTTAGCTTCACAGAGACTGTACTGACAGCATTAATATATTAGATGGGGACTGTTGAGAGCCGCCTGCTGAGGCTCAGACTGTTACTGCTTCCTGCTTCGAGACGCCTTCCTTTTGTGTGTATTTCTTATCTATTACAGAAACAGTGGCTTTGACCGGGGAGGTTGTCTGGTGATAGCTTTTAATTAAGCTCATTCTTCATTTCCACTTGCAGCAGATTGACTCTTTCACTGGGGGATTTCGAACCCCGCAAACCTGCCCAACGAAACGACTCTCCTTCGCTCATGTTTCCCCCTTTTGTTCATCCTGATGAGGATTGACTGTCATTGAGTAACACTGAGAGCGGGGAGAATGGCCTCATTAAAGAGGGTGGAGGGAACCCGTCGCTTGTGCGTGTTTGTGTGTTGAGCGGTGACATTGAGCAACACTAATGAGATAGATGTTCATTAAACATCGCAGAGCATCCAGGCCAATAAATCCAATCAGAAAAGTCGAAGGCAGATTGAGCTATTAACAGGGCTGCAGGCTCTCTGCTTCCCTGCTTGTTTTGACAAGGCCGGCCGGTATCGTCAGCTCATTAGGGCCACAGGTCAATTACATTGGGTGTGATGACAAATTACCGTAGCATTTCACACCTTAGTTGAAAATGATTCATTTTAGTATTCAGGGATTTTAGTTTTTCACTTACCACATGAGCTGAAAGAATATGAAGTTCATTACTGCAGCTGATGCGTTAATCTTATTTCTTATTATAGCTCATCACAGTCGACATATCTCAACAGAGCAGAGGTAGTCGTTAATTCTTTTAGTTACTCTTAATTAAATGAACTTAGATATGCATATGTGAGTCATGCATTTAGACAGAAAAATAAAGTAGAAACACCAAACGCAATGATGGGACCGGGACAACAAAGGAGCGCTGATCACCAAAAAGAAGAAAGCCAACCAGTGGGTTTGTTGTCATTACAGGATTATGCACAGGGTTACTGTGTTAAAACAAACAGTCCTTTTTTCGCCTTTTTGTTTGCTTGATTTAATTCCTTACATTGTTGAAAAGGAAGGACTCTTTTTTTATAGTTGAGTATGTGTCAAAACTGATCGGGGCATTTTTGCCTTTCGCAAACTTCTCAAATGCCTCAAGCAAGTGGTTGAAATCTGATGAGCAGCCGCAATGTGTCTCCTAATCTCTATATGTTATCTTCTATTTACGATAGCTAAATAAGATTGTAGCTGTATAAACACAACAACAATAAAACCATGTGGTATTTTCACATCAGCAGTTTGCTGCTGATATCGCCGCTCACCTGTGGACCCATTGGGAATGCTGGGTGGGACTGGCCCAGGTGACTCTGCTCAGAAGGACTGCTGCTGGTGTCGGACTGGACCGAACCGTCACGAGCTCCTAGCAGAGTGACAGGCAGAGATCCATGGAGAGAAAGAGAGAGAGAGAGACACAGCTTAGATCAACACGGGCAGTGCACGTAGATAAACAACACAAACCACGCGGCGGCTTCACAACACGTTGTCACGCCGCGCAGAGGAGGGCAGCCGGGAGAGGAGGGGAATTTGTATTTAAGTGCTTTATCAATAACCGCTCTAGCGGTGAATAAATTACCAGCCAGCGGAGAGGCTCATTGATGGGGGGATGATGCATGCTGGCGGGTCCCCGATGTCCTAGATTACCGCTGAGAGATAGAGCTCCACCACAAACGGCGGGGCCATATTATTCAGCCATTTACATCACTGAGTATCACTCATCTAAACCCACCCCCCCCCGCCCTCCACTCTGGGCCCGCAGCTACGAGACACAATTAGACCTGTTTGCTATGAGGGCAGAGTGGAGTGGAGCAGACAGGGACATGATAATAAGCCCGCTGATGGCTGCAGGGAAAACAAAGGACACCACCGATTGGATATCGTAGCAATCGCTATCTCACAGAATCTCTCAGCAGAGCACACAGAGTGCCGGTCGCTCCAAAAGGGCAGAGGGGCCGCTGTGACCCTGACCCTTTGACCCTGGTCACATCGAGGCCTCAATGTGGACACAGAGGAAAAGGAGAGTCATCTCGCAGAAAGAACTTACAAAAATGCAAAGTATCTTCGATGTCTTTCACCGAACCGACTTTCTGAAAGAAAAATACCAGCTGACTAAAAAGGATTTTTAATTTTCTTGGAGTATTTGCTTAGAAGAAAAGAAAACGAAGAGCTGGACGAACACTAATGTGAAGCACGTTTCAATCTTAGCAAAGCAAGAATGTGCTGAAAACCTGAACCGAAACAATAGCTTTGAGAACTTTGACGAGCAAAGAAACAAAATAAGTGATCTTTCTAATTTCAGAAAACATATTTCAGAGGATGAATGTCTTTTGTGGCAAGTTGGTGAAGGTGAGGCTGCATTGCAGAAAATGCAAGCAATTATCCAAAGAACTTGAGAAGTTTCTTTGGACATATTTTTATTAATTATGTTTTTTTATTGTATATATATATATATATGAGATGTTGTCTTCTTCTTTAGTCTTTGTGCTTTTATCGAGTTTTGAGCTGGAGTTTAAGGGCACGGCTTTCACGTCTGCAGAAAGCAGGATGAAGAGGTTTTTTTCTTAAAACGTAGAGCGCTTCCAGTGGCTTGCAGTTCTTTTCTACCGAGCAGACTATTGAATAACCTCGCCTGAGAGATCTCATTGCCTGTCATGTATGTTTACGCATTACGTCTTTAACCCCCCTCCGCCAAATAAAATCATTTCATCTTTACATAAAATCCAAATAATTGGTGAATGGCATGACCTAACAAACCTCATGCATTTGAAGGCTGATGTGAAAGCCCAGGGGGGGGAGGCTGCTTGTCTTGCTGGTTCCTACCTCTGGCTGGCCCTGCTTCTGGATGAAGGTCCGCATCCTCTCGCTTATCAACCCCGCAAACGCAGTGGGTATTTTGACAAGCCAGTCTCTTTTCCCCAATTATTTCACCCATTATAGATCCTGTTGTGCGTGGCCCCACCCTGTGCACTCAGTAGCCGGAATTAAGATCAATCCGAGCAATCGGGAGCGACTTTGTGGCTGTATTAGAGTCAACCTAAAGTGACAGATAGAGTGCAAGATCATCATAAACGGACGGATAATTTCATGTCTATTTTGAAGGGTGAATATTATGAGGGTGCGTTTGTTTTACTGGGTTTCATCAGCGGTATTATCTCCAAGCAGTTAATTCCCACTTTGGACGTGTAAATGAAAGTAAAACCTCTCTGTAAGAATTTCAAGACATTTTTTTCAAATGATGCTGACACAATGTTCTTTTGTGCTGGTGAATTTATCCTCATAACAAAGCCAAATTGTGAAATGAAGATGTGCAGCTATAATGAAGGAATGACTCCATAACATCATCGATAGGCTTCAAACAGTAAGATATTGGCTGTGAATAATGTATTGTATGCAGTTTGGGAGTCTTACTGAATAACGATTCTTTGATGCCTTCATTTCACAATAACTTAGAAAGCTTCATCTCCTTGCAAATATCTGTAACGTTAACACGTTTATCGCAGGGCGGAAAAAAATCGATAATAAATAAATACACATGCACATCTTTCCCCAAAGGATTTGTGTAATTTCTTTAACTAAATTAAATAGCCGACAGGAAAAAAAGCCCAGGGAGTCGCTCTTCAATTCTTTTTTATTGCTAGAATCTTGTACATGTTTTGCTTTTCTTTAAAAAGAAATCTGCTTATCCAATGTGAATGATTCTTAAATGGATTTCCAGATTGAGATTAATGCCGTATTCAGGAGGATAAGGGAAAATATCTCAAACAAACCCTTTACTAAAAAGAACGTCCTTTGATGCCGTGAGCCGCAGGTTACGGGGAGAATGAAATGAATGGATGTATTGATGTGAGGAGAGATGAAAGAAGAGGCCAAACGGAGGAAAGAAAAGGCGATGCACATTCAATATAGCTTTACATTTATCCAGGACATTCATGCTTCATCTTCCTGAGCAGTGTCACTACCGCTGTAAAGGAATTCAACGTTTCACGGCCTTGACTGAAACTAAGAGGATGAATTGAATTACACGAATCAAGCCTTAATCATTTGAAACTTGTTTCCTCGAAGTGAAATAATTATATTTATTACACGGCGCAGAGTGAAGTTTGATGCGTCTTATGTCATGGAAAAATCGCCAATATCCACCACTATATAAATTCTCTTTCATTGATCACCAAAGTGGCCACTGGAGAGCGACTTTCAATGCCACACAAGGCAGAAGGTCTCCCTGTGTGGTGTGTGTGTGTCTGTGTGTGTGGCGGTGAGGTGGGGGTCAGGGGGGGGCGCATAGAGCCATATTTATTTGACTTTGTTCAGCCTGTCTTAATGCAGGGTGCCCCAAGGACTACACCACAAAACAATTAGCCCGGATTTCATAAAGCAATCAGCATGCCGCCTCCTCTAATGCAACCGCTTCATACATTGACAGTCTGAATAAAATGGGGGTTATTGAAAAGCTTTGTGTTCATGTTAGCTTTCGCCTCAAAGCATTCATGGATCAATTCTTGGCCATAAAAGAAGCTTTAACACTTAAGCTATTTTAGTGGAAATGCATTATGTAAGTTGTCAAATGTACGAGAGAGGCCTGGTAACGATTCAGCCTATTCAGAATGAACAGCCGACCCCCATTTTTATAATGGTCCTTTTGAAAATGTCTGGCTGAGTGCATGTGTTTGCTGTTAAGATGGTGTCAATCATTTTGCCACTGGAATTTAATCCATAGAAAATAATTTCACATGTGAACAGATTCAAAAACGCCGGAGATTATAAAGGGATTACATCAGCAATTGTTATAATACGTGGAAGTATTGAAGTAGAGATAATTATTGTAGCGCACAAATATGCAAAACAGCACTAAGATTTACCAAATGTGTGTTGTGCTGTTTAATTCAGAGTTTGCAAGCTGTTGAAACGTAAAGGACGGGCCGAGATAAACAAAGTTTAATTTCATAATTCATAATTTCAACACAAGCAATTGTCCAAGATGGCGTGAACATTGATTTTGTTAATACCACTTTGAAAGTTGAAAGTCGCGTTGCAACGACCGTTGAGGGAAAAAGAAATGCAGAGCACCAGATAATTTTATTTCCTCTTTTCCACCCAAAGCAGCCTGGAATGAAGTGCAAGAAGCCTTGTAACACACCAGGCACGGCGCCGTATGGAAGAGAGCAGCCTACGACATGCAGCGTCGGCTCCATGGTGATTTACTTAACTCCTTGTAGAATGCAAGAGGGCCAGAAATCACCAGTGATTTAGCTCAGTGTTTCATTACTCCCAGCAAAGCCCTGAACAATAACACAGGGCATAATCTGCTGCCAATAACTCCAGGTGCTCTTAGTCAGATGGCTCCCTCCGGACCGGCGGAGAAGTAATACTCTGTTTAGAGGCAGTAGTGGATAGATCAACAGTGTTTCTGGGGATAGAAAATCACCAGGGATGGACTTTTGAGTGTCCGCCTGTAACACTATTAGTTACATTATGGCCACTGCTGCTGCTCAAAGAGCTGTCATTTCCTTAATTAAGAGCCTGGCGCAGGGCAAGACGGAGAAGAGGCCACGGCGCTTCCTCTGGGCCTCGAACATCAGAGCAAGATCCCTCGTCTCGCAACGGCGGAGACCTTACTGGGGAAAACCCAATATGTCATTCATTATTCCGGCACAAAGCGGAATTATGGAGTTACGGAGTTGCAAAGGTGGCGGTGCCGTGGAGTGCGCGGAGGCGAGAGGAAGCACAAGCACCGGCGGAGAGGAAATGGATGCAGCGGCGTAATAGAGGTCTCCACTGGCTGGAGCTTTTGAACGTAAACAAAAGAAAATAGTCCACTTCAATTTGCGAAAGCAAGACCCCAGTTTGTGGATGAATCTGCATGCAGACGACGCTCAGAGCAGCCAGGACTCTGCGCTCTGACACTTATGCTCTCACTGGGGGCCACCGGTCTTTACCGAAAGGCTCTCGGACTTGAGAGTGCTCGGTGCCAGCTCTTACCGGTCTCTCCCTTGATGCTGGAGTGGAGATGGAAGCAGCGCGAGCATGAGAGGGACCAGAGGGAGGTAAATTGGTGAGAAGAGGCAATGCCCATTTCAAAGGTCAAGAAGGGGAGACGGTGTGGGGGGGAGAGGGGAGGATGGAGAAGGGAAGAGCGAAGGGAAGGGAGAGGAGAGGAGAGGGCTTTTGTTGTTGGGTCTTCACAGAGGGACCTGGGACACTCGAGATGTGCACACGAGCACATCTGTTAGGGAGCGTCTTCCTCATTCCCGAAGCAATGTCAACCTGATTAGCTCAGGGTGGAAGGAGGCAAATAACAATCCAAAAGGATTCTTCATCCTTTTATGGCCATCAGCGAAGGTGGGACGCAGAGATGACTAGCTT